GCACAAGGTTATGGATTGGTGTGATTGTGGTGGTGGTGCAGGACGGGGAAGTTAGAGGGTTTAAATAGGTAATCTCCTAGTTAGGTTACAGGTATGGCATATAGTATAGAACCTTTGGGCGGACTACTTAAATTAGGCAACCAAAAGTTGCACATGTGGCTATATGTACTCTCGCTAACCAAAAATGTATCACTAAAATACCTAATAAAAACCACCCTTCCATGACATTGCGAAGGTATAAAAAAAAAATATAATAATATTAATTAAAATATTGATTGCAATATAAATATAATAAAATAACTATATAAAATGACTAATTTTAATAGTTTTTTAAAAGAGGTAAGTTATACTACATTTAATCCTAAGAGGATATCTTGTTAAAAGAATGTTAATTTTTTTCTAGCTCAGATTATATCTTCTTTATCCAAACCTTTTAGCTTTTTTTCTGATCAAAATAAAAATTTATTAATTAAAATTTTTTTGTTTAAAAGTAAAATATTTGTTTGATTAAATAAATGTCTATAGAAAACTTTTAAAAAAATTTCTTTAATTTTATCTATTGAAGAATTCAACTTCTTATCTTTAAGTTGTTTTTCAAAATCAAGTTTAGTACAAGATTGCTATTCAAGTATTTCTATTTTTATTTCTTTTGGTGACACCTTCAATCTTCTAAATATTTAAACTACTGATAATTTGTTTTCTAGTGTCTTAATAAGAAGTTTCTTGAGTAATTTAATATTAAACATATTAATAAAGATGTCTTGATTGTTGATATAAGTTCTTTTAACAATAACAACTAAAATAATATCTTCAAGTGAGTTTCAAAAATGAGATAATTTAGCCATATTTTTGCTAATGCAAAAATTGTGTTTAAAAAAGGTATAGTTTCCAATTGCATAATTATATGAAGTTTTGCAAAATTCTAAATTGGTAACAACCCTTTATATTCCCTTTTATAAAACATATCTGTGAATATTCTTATTGCTTGTGAAAAAATAAAAGAATATTAGTGTTAGTATCAGATGATTCTGGCTCAACATGCGAATGTCAATTAAATGCATGCTGTTGAAACATTTGTAATAATTATATTATAACAATCTAAGCATATTGTATTAAATTCCTTAACATAAGGAGAAAGTTTTCTATTGCTTGCTCCTTTAGAAAGAACCATAGTGGTTACAGACTTCCAAACTGAAGATTTCTCAAGTTTCTATAATGCATGGTCCAATGACTTTCTTTTCTTTACTCATTATGAAAAATCGCAACTAAGCAACACCACTTAAATATAAGATTATAAAAGATTATTTTAAAGGTGGTTTTCTGGCACTATAACGAAACAAATTGTGCAAAAAAAAATTTCACGTTAGTGAAACATTATGTTCTCAAAAAGCACTTTAAAGTGTATAAATAAGTTATCCGGAGGTTATATCAAAGCATTGTATATGTTAATTTTGTTTGAACCCCAAAATTATTAATATTAATTCGCTATTCATTAATTAAATATTATGTAAAACTTCAGTTTTTAATTCGCTTTTTATAATATGTATATTCTATACTAGCTTAAAACATTGGTTTTAGAGGGTAGATTAGTCATGTCACAAAAAATTGGCAGTCCCGTGATATACGAGCCACTCAGACTATGTTTCTGTATCCGAGCTATTAATTTTATATTTATCATTCGGGATCCAAAAAAGTTCTTTTAAAAAAATCGTGAGAACTTTTTTTAGATCCCGAATAATAAGTATAAAATTAATAGCTTGAATAAAGGAATAAAGTCTGAGTGACTGTATATCACGGGGCTGCCAATTTTTTGTGACAAGAATAATTTATGTATGTACGTAGGGTGAACTCTTTAGTTCGATGCAATAAAACACATTGAACATATTGGTTTTACACACTAAAATAGTTTCTTTTGTCGGCGAACAGATTTATTTAAGGTTGGTCGTAGTTTGCTGATTTTAAAAGTAGAGTCTTTTTTAGTCGCACAATAAGAAATTGTTTTTTTAAACAAGGTCAAAATAAATAAATAAATAAAATTAAACAGCCTATATGTTAAATAAAATTAGCCGATATGTTTAGAAAGAATATTTGAATGTAATGCTCGAATATTCTTTATTTATTATAACTCTATTATTGATTAATAATCACAACATTTATAAAGAATGAATAATTTGCTAAATGAATAATTTAATGCTAACATTACGATATTATAAGTAATAAAATAATCAAAATATAAAGTAATAATTAATGCTAAAATTGTGAATAGAAACTTAGATATTTTATGCAGAGACATTAGCTTTGGGGTCGACATTGTCCACAGTGTCAGAGGCTGTAGATTCGACTGTTTCACATATACTTGTAAGTTGACCAATAAGATAATCAAGATCACTTGACAGGTCTTTAATAGACTATAAATATGATAACAAATAAACTTTAGTATTAAAGTATGTTACCGGATAATATAAAATAATCATAATATTACTTACTAGGACTTTTCCAGTAGTGCATTCAGTACTCAAAGGTTTTGTTTCGAAAATGTCAATTACATTTTGAGTAGCTTCTTTTTTGGTCCCTTCAACGGAAGTTAATTCATCCTTTAATTCAGGTAACACGCATTCAAGCTTATAATCATTCAATAGATTACTACAGAAACCATTTAGAACGTCGGATGTTTCACTGACAGTAAAATGCGATAAAAAGGCAATAATGGCAATCAAAGTGATAAAAATTTTTAGAAAAGATGCCATAGTTTATTATTTGTAGTAGTTTTGTAGTAGTTTTCTTGTAGTTTTCTTGTAGTTTTCTTGTAGTTTGGTTGATAATCAGATTGATGAGTTTGATGAGAAACTTCATGTTATGGGTCTTTATATATTTCTCGTTGGCATAGCATCAAGCACCCAAATTATATGATTAACGCGAATCAATATGCATATAGAGCATTTTACAAAGACAGTTATTTAATAATTCTTTATTTTCGAACAACAAATCGAAAATAGTTATCTGGTGGACCAAAAAAGTACATTTTTAATAACAGCATTAATGCATGCGCTCTGATTTAAGGGTAATTAATTATCGTAAGCCACTTGAATTCATTTATTAGTGTAATATCAAGATGGAATCAAATGCGTAATTTCCTAGACAAGGCGAACTTTCATAAAAAAAATTGCATGCATAAACTTTGCGAATAATAGATTTTAATTCATATATATCGTGTACAAATTACGTACGTACGTACAAGCGTAAATACTTAATTCCTTATAACGATGAGTAACCAAAGTAATTTTTAGGATGATCTGTGTATTAACCAAAAAAGGCTATTTTTAAGTAATGACGAAACTTTATTTTTATTGAATTATCGTTCTGATTGGCTAAATTAAGAAAAATCTTTGTAAACCTAACGATCTCGATTGTCTTTGTTTTTTAATTAACCCTATCAAACAATTGTAATACGGTCTCGATCCAATTTTGGATTGGTCCTAATTTATCGCGGTTTGCATATTGTTGTAACTTTGAACAAATTTGTAGATCACTACACACCCATACAATCACCTGATTCGATTGCATGGTTGTAAAGTGTGTTTTTTGGCTAAAGATTCAATATCAATATATTATTTTAATAAAATTTGTCGACCATTTCTATGTTCGCTAAAAAATCATTGTATAATCGCGCAACCGAACAACAATCAAGTGATCGTTCGAGTAATTGTATAAGTGTGCGGCGATCTACAAATTTGATCAAAAGTCAACAAACTGCGATAATTTATGTAATAGTTCTAATCTGGTATGATTTGCGACTCTTCTATTCTAAACTTGTTATAAGTAGGTTACACGGGAAATAAAACGTTAAATTAAATAATGTATGATCGATCGATCGCTCAAATGACCTTCGGAGAAGGAACAAAATTTCGGAAGGAATGGAAGGCTAATCTATATAATATATACTTTTGTTACAATTATTCTTTTATAGGGATTTACGTGTTATTTTTGCAATACTTAATTTTAAACTCAGTTGGGAAATAGCTTCTGCCCGTAAATTAATAAAACGGGAGAATAATTCATTCATTCTCCGTTACGGGGGAATAAATAACCCTTCAGCATAACAACCAAATCATTTACGTAAAAATATAATTTTTACTCGTCATTATACGAATTTCTGTAATTTTGTTATAAAAAATTTTATTAAATTATATGTATTTAAAACTCCGTATGTAAATGATCTTGGTGATTATTCTAGTTTCATCGGTAATAAATAGTATTTTTTTGTCGAATTTTCTTACCAGGCTGATGAAATGATCGTCAAAGACGAAAGATAATTTGATATTCACATCTAAATTTACTAATACCGATAATAAAATTTCAATCATCATGCAATGTCGAAACATCGTGTATCATCAGTTTCCTAATTCGGGGATTGGCTAAAGCCAGGTACAGCACGAGATTACCCGATATGTAACCCGGATCAGCCCGAACAAAACAAAGCGAGACGCCAAAGACTAAAACACGAAAAATACAAAAATTGGCTATCTAAACCGGTCTTGGTTCACTAAGTAAAAGTGTCGGAAAGGCGATTTTACTATAAAAACTATTTAATTTAAAAATCGGTAATATCGTGATGTACCTGGCTTTAGCCATCCCCAAATAAGGAATTTTGAAAAATGGGTTGGTAAAATTGGTCCAGGTTTATTAGCTTTTTGGTTACACGAATTATGAAATCGTTTGTGTTCTTTGTGTTGCAAAACTTAAAAAACTTAACCGTACGTACGTACGTACGTTTTCACATGCATTCACATATTCACATGTTAGTCAATTATAATTGAAACATGCGCGTTGTTCTCGAGTTTCGCTTACTTTTTTCCATCATAAATATTATTAAGTGATGGGATTTACACGACTCCCTCGCGAGTTGTCATTGTCAATTTGTAATGAACTTGACGAAGAAGATTTACATCCTTTATCAATTGTTTCACGTGATTTCAATAATTTAGCTTCAGATAATAACATTTGGAGTCAATTGGCTTTGAAACGATGGGAACATAAACAGGGAATAAAAGAAATATGCGAAGAGAATCGTATATTTTGGTTTAAAAAGCCTGGTACTTGGAAAATCGTTTATAATATCGTTGAGAGAGAAGCACAGCGAACTTTATTGGATGTGAGTGACTTGGTTGAAAATAGGTGGATTTGTACAGTAAGTTAATTAAGCCAACAATTAAATTGTATGCACGTCAAAAAAAAGCTATACTTAATCAGAATTATTTACAGAATATTGATAATCTCTGGGCAAGAAATCAATTAGTAACATTCTCTCCAGACGGCACCTACACCCATAATCATGAATTTTTTAGTCGGTCTTTACCGGTTTGTATTACATATTCCAAAAATTTTTGATAACTCGTATATTGAAATATTGTTTTTTAAAAACTATAAAGTGGTCCATTGCCGGCGATGGATCTGTAAGTTTGAACCACAAACCTTTTACACCGTCTAGATCTCCTGATTGGAAATTGATAATCTCCAATGACATGTTAACTTTTACTTCACCCGGTAACAAAAGTTTTAGAAGAAAATTAAAGGAATTCGATTCCGAATTGATAACTGAATTCAGACAGGAGCAATATCATTTAAGATAACTATAGCACACTATATATCCTTACTCAATCGAAATCAATAACGGGCGTTGTAATTAAATAAATATATTTATTTGTTAACTTTTATATTTCGTCAAAAATTCTTCTTGAAACTTTCCTTGACGTTGCAAAATAATAAAATTAGGAATACCATTTTTTACAACATATTTCGGGTGTGACAATACTTCTTTTAAAGTGCAATTTTTTCCAATCCTGATTAGCTTTTGTTTTTCTTCATTGCCAGTTGATAGTGTATATTCGTAGTAAATTTGTAAATTATCTGGTGTATATTTATGTTCTATATCCCAAGGTGCTAATTGTTCAAAAATCACTTCAAGATGATCTAAAAAAGTATTTTCTTCGTTAAATGCCTCAATAAAATCTGATTCTTTATATTCTGGATATAGAAAAAAGACAGGCCAAATTAATTGTTGAGTTTCAGTATCTATATGTACAGAGTGTGGTGATATTGGTGCGTTGGGTGTTGTTTCCATTTTAATATTACGAATCTATTAATAAAATATATTAGTATTTTTTTGATTAATTTAGTCAACATGTATGTATTCTTTTAACCTTTATAGCATTCTCTAATGCCTCTCTTGTTCCTCGTTCCTTTCGTTCACGCTCTTCCTTAATTCTAGCTTTTTGTTCCATTATCTCTTTCCGTTTAACACAAGTCTCTTTAAGCTGCTGTAAAGCCAAGTTATTTGGCTCTATCTAATAATATTTACAAATATAATAAATTATGAGATTATCTTGCACATTATATACAATACAAAAATATTGATATATACTCTAAGCCCATGTTCACAACAATCTAAAGCTTGATCAATTTTATCAAGTGCATGTAAAGCTTTTGCAGAGCGATAGAATGCCTTGATGCTTCTAGGGTTTAATTTAATGGCTTTTGCACAATCAGTAAGGACTTTACGATAATTTTCTATAAAGAAAAACAATCTTAAGTAGTAAACATATAATAAATTAATAGATGTTATTATCCTGGTGAAATTAAATTACCATTTACTTACGCAATTCTAAGTTAACGGCTGCACGATTTGTTAGACAAGCTCCGATTATTTTATTGTCTTGACAATTTGTTTCTAATGCTTTCGTGTAATAATTTATCGCATCTTGATATTGTGATTTGCCAGCTTTAAAGCATTCATTCCCTTGGTTTTTAAAATTCTCGGCGATTTCTATAGAATATATAAAATTACAAATTTTTACATTCGAATCCAAATTTAACTTTTTAGTGTAAATACCTTCAGGTGGGCCTTCGTAAATTAAAGACTGTAAAGCAGCAAGTGCATCATTTTCTTCCTCTGGCAATTCAGTCATGAATAACGGAACTTTATTCATTTGTTTGAGAAGGTCTTCTTCAGAATCTCTTTCAAATCCGCCATCAACTTTCGGTCTCTCCGGGCCAAATACGTTAGACATGTTTTATTTTTATAGAATCGAAAATCTAAACTTATCGTGATCAAATATTGATATTTAAAGGAAGACTTTCATATGATTGGCTAACCAATACGTGATCATTAACCAATCAAATTAATCAAGAAAAATTACGATTAGTACAAAGCTCGGCCAATCAGAGTAAAAAATATGCATGGATTGGTTTTATACTTTTTTATACTTGTGTTACAAAGACGCGTAAGATTATTGTATAAAAAGTGAGCAATTTGTTTTTTTTTCGCTCTTTAAATTATTTTTTTTTTTACTAAATAAAAGAATCTACAGTGTGTTTTAGCAAATGCGAAAAAAGAAACCCCTTCTTTTTGACTTATAAAAATCCCAAAACTTTTTGTATTTAGTAGCGTATGATTGATCGATGTTAGCTAAAAGTTGGCCCTACTGCAACACTTTTAAGGTTTATAACGGAAATTAATACCAGTACGTATATACGTTTGATGTATTGTTAGTTTTTTATAAACAGTCGTCCCTCTATATAGTCACCTCCCAGATAATCACGCCATATGTAATCACATTTATGTTTAAGCCAAACTATGATTTAATTTATAAGAAAAAGACCTCTATATAAGCACAATCTCCATATAAGCACAATCTCTATATAAGCACATTGAAATAAATTTACTATATGCCCAACTGTGTGCTTGTATGGGCTGTAATTTATTTAAAAGAAGGTTCCAAATTACTCCAGTAATTCAAAGTATAGAAAGTTTTAAATGGCTATATTAATGTTGTTAAACAAAACCTAAGGGTTTTGTTATTGACAAAAGTCAAAACTAAGTTTTGTTTTTTTGTTATAAAATTTTTAAAATAAAAAAAATAACAAAAGATAACAAAATTAACAAAGATGACAAAACTAATAAAAAGTAAAAACTAATAAAAGATAATAAAATTAGTATGTTATTTTATGATGATCTGTTACCATGGCGACCTTATGAATAACCAATTAAATTTTGATTATATAAATTATGTGATTGATCAGATCAGGAAAAGTTTCTGGACATTTACTATTTATGTGATTTTGTATTTATTGATTACCAATATACAGTATAACATAAATAAGTAGATGTATATATAAGTATATTACAATTATAAAAAAACTTTATTGCACAACTAGTATTGAACCTCTCAATCTGGAATTTGCCAAAATTGATAACATATTAAATTTAATAAAAAAATAATTCACCAAGTTCATAAATCTAGTAGTTTAAATATTTTAACTCATAATACTAATACAAAATTATCTACTGTATATATTGGTTTTGAGAAGTTTAATAATATCAGATTAAAATAGAAAAAATGAATTTGGTAGATTAATTTTTGTTTTTAACAAATTATTGATTTTAACAGGATTGTTTTTAAAAGGTTCAACAGTATTTTGTAATAAATTAATAATTACCTAAAGCATTTATATAATAAAATTTAAAAAAATGAAAAAATTTTAATTTTTTAATATTAATACTGTTAAACTTCTCAAAACCAATATGCATAATAGACAATTAAGAGGTTATCAGATTTAAAAACATTAAACTATCTATTAGATTGACAGGTTATAATTTTGCAAAATTAGGTTTAAGAAATTCAATAGTATTAGTTTGAGTATTAAATTATACAAGCATTATATAGTTATTTCTGAAAGTAAATACAATTTATTTTTATTATAGTGAACAGTGTTTCTAAGTCTGGTCTGGGTTCGGTCTGGTCTGGGTCTGGTCTGGTATTGAACCAGACTCAGACTCTAAATTTTACTAGTTTTGAACTTCAGACCAGACTCAAACTTAATTATAAGTTTGGTCTGAGTTTGGTTTAAGTTTGCAGACTAGTTCGAGTCTGAATATATTTATCTGGTTTGAAGTTTAGTTTGAAGTTTGCAAACAGTCTGGTCTAGTCTGATAGTTTTTTTGTGGTTTAGCTCATCATATAAGCTAATTTGTTGTTCACATGATGAGCTAAGCTACCAAAAAACCTACTAAACCAGACCGGACTGTTTGCAAACTTCAGACTTAGCGCTTGAACTTATCAAAAAAAATATTATCTAGATAACCTGGCGGTCTGATAAGAACTAAACATTAATGACTACTATGCTCTGTATGCTATTTAGATAGAAGTTTTAAGTTTATTTTGTCTACTCGAATTGCCACCTTTTGTCACTTAAATGCTTTTATATGATGTAATATATAAAACTTCATATAAAAATCAATATAGAAAATATGAAGTAGCAGCAATCAAGATAATAAAAGATTTATATAAAAATAAACAAATTTTTTAAATACGGTATGTTATTTTTTTTACATGTAAATTTATATTGTTTAATAATTAATTGTATAAATTGACAATTTTTTAGTTAAAAACATATTATAAATTTGAAAAATACTATAGTATATTAATTGATAAAAATATGAAAGATTTTATTTTAGTGTTAAATTACACAAAATTTGAATCATTATATGAAAATCTTAAAGATATATTTAAAATGGAGTAGAAAATTAAACTAAAATTATTATGCGATATTGTTAATGATCTATCAAATATTTATTTTAAAAACTTTATATATTAGAATTTAAATCCTAGTAATATTTTATTAAAAGAACAATATGAAGCTTATATTGATTTAGGTTCATCAATATTGTGTGATGAAAAACAGATAGTGTTTTGCCATATTAGGATTTGAGGTCTTGAAAAGTAAACAATTCATTCAAGCCACTGAAATTTACAGTTTTGAAATTATTATAATAGAAATATTAACTGGACGAAAACCTTTTGATAGTTACAATTTTGATGCTGAATTAGCAGCAATGATTTGTTATAGATTACGATCTGAATTTTTTATAAAGACACCAAAATATTATGTTAAATTGGCAAAACAATGTATTAATTCAGATATAAAAAACAGACCTAAGGCTGTTAAGATTATTGATAAACTTGAAAAATGAAAAAATATTATAGTTGCACATGATAACAATACTAAATTAGACATGAAAAAAAGAACTAAAGCTGTTAAAATATTTAATAAATTCAAAGAATGAAAAAATATTATAGTTGTCAATGATAGTAATATTAAGTTAAACAAACAAAGTATTAATTCAGATAAAGAGATTAAACAGCAATTTTTAGAAGCTAATAAATCAAAGAATTTAATTACTTCACAAATATATAATAACATGATGTATATTTCTAAGCTTATTAATATGAAAGAAATCATTTCAAAGTCTGAAAATTTTAAGATTAATCAATAACTTAATTTAAGTAAAAAATCTGAATTAAAAATATTGATAGTAATTTATTTTTTCATAATTGTTATAAATAACAAGATTAAAGAATATTAAGAGGTGATTCACCGTTAAAGGGTATAAGCATCATATAAGCATCATAGTAAAAATCGGCAGGCATTACATATAGAATTTTAATAGTAGTAGG